GTTCTCAGGAGGGAAAGCAAGGGAAAACAGGTAGGAGGATAGGGAATGCAAAACATAGAGTTGTTTGTTTATACAAAATTCATCAGCAAAATGTGGATGGTGGAGGTAAAGGGAACAGGGAAAATGGAGGGCTTTTGGCAATACTTAGCTGGAAAAGTCTTGCAGACATAGGAAAGAGGGAAGGAGGGATGGAAATGCCTTGGACTTGGACCCCTGCCCCCCCTCCCCCAGCCCACCACGCAAGAGAGGAGAAGTTCATGGTGCAACATGCATTGTTAGAAAGGAGTCTGAAGAAATGGGAAAATAGTAAAAACCTTGAAAGGAATATAAAGGTCAGAAGCAGAATAACAGAAGTGCGGAACCTGACCGAGAGTCAGTCAGTCAAAGTGTGGAGGGAGATGTGAGAAGCGCAGGCAAAGAGGGAATATGTAGAAATTGAATGGATGGTGGTGAGGAATGTATTACCGGTAAGGGGGAGGTTGTGCAGATAGGGATTACACAGAACAGAAAAATGCCCAAGGGAAAACTGCAAGAACATAGAATCGACTTACCACATGTTTTGGGAGTACCGGTATGTAGAGAAGGTGTGAAAGAGGAAAGAGGGTGGGGAGGTCTACGAAGAGAACCCAATAGAGTAATGTATCGGCATACAAGAAGGCAATGTACAGACTGGACCAAAGAGAGCGAATGAACCAGCAAATGACACTGTTGATAATGTGCATGAGTGGCCATCTGGAAGATGGGGACCCTGTTGTGTGCAAGGGACTGTTCTTCACATCAGAAGAATGCATGCAGCTAGCCATGAAAGAACTGCAAACGTACATTGAGCTGGGAGCAACAAGTGCAATGAACAAGTGGAGATTAAAAGATCAGGGAGTGCTCTTCCGGGAAAATTCTGGGTGGGGAGAGGGAGAGCAGGGAGAATAACAAAATGGGTTGGAAGGAAACTGATGAAAGCATGACAGGTAATGCCATTTGAAGAAACATGGGTGGTAAGGGAAGCTTGTTGGGCAGTGTAACAGGGTGCCATCTCTGACAGCATTTTTAAAGGCTGGTGAATGAGGGACCCTTCAAGTCCTGCTATATTTTTCTCCTCCTCTGGGGACCAGCTTTCCCCCCTTTTCCCTCCTGCCACAACTTGACCACGACTTGGTTCTTAAAGAGGGAGGCTGACCTAAAAGTTCCCAGGTGGGCTGTAAGGCTTACCACCTAGAGGATAATGAGCTATTGCCTTAAGGGTAAAATGCTCCGACCTCCCCTTGACATGCCCCATGCCTCGCAGATGTTTTATAATTTTCTCCTGATGTTTGGGTCTCAGCCACTGTGGACTTACCCCCCCTCTCTCTAGCTAGGCCTGTCAGTCAAAACCCACTAAGCAGGGCTTGACTCCAAGGCTCTAGCTCTTTAACCCACTCAGGCTCACAGCCCTCTGTTTCATACTTTCCATGACACCAGGCCAACTGGCCCTTCTACACTGCACCCCTGTGGTGCCAGGCTGTTGGGGCCTCAACGCCCTCTGGCTTTGCCCCTCTTTCTGTGGTTAGGGCTGTTCACCTAAGTCTACCCCCTAGGACCTGACTTCAAGGCTCCTATCTTCCCTTCAAGGGACTCTGGGCTCATGGCCCTAGTGCTGCACCCCTAGTGCACAGGGCTTCTTGAGCCCTCTATTATGGCACTCTGTGGAGCTAATGAGGCCTCCTCCTCCCCTACAGCCTCAATCACAAACCACCAGCTTTAACATTAAACATAAACAATAGGCCCTTGTGGCCATATAAAGAAAATAAAGATAGGAGAGGCAAACTTCCTGCTTACATGCAATTGGGCTTCTGTCTCCTAGCTTGTTGTGTTCTTCCTGAGGAGGCTGCTGCAGCTTCTCCATAGTCATCAGGAGTCCCCCTCTCTGCCACCCCCCTGGCTTTCTCCACCTGAGGTTTATATGGTTCTAGCCTTTCCCTTCCGGTCACCTGACCAGCCAGCAGGGCTCAAACCCCTGCTCGACTGGATGACTGCACCCAGAAAGTTCTGGATTTAAAGGAGTCACCCTGCTTCCTGATAACAGGGCTAGGGTTCCCTGTTCCTGGCAGTTACATGAGAACTGGTATAGAAATGTTAATATGATATGAAATAAAAGGCAATGTTGATTGTTTTAAAATAGATAAAATGGGAGGGAGGAAGTCTCCTGTTGAGGCTGCATGTAGACAAGAGGCAAATGATGCCAGAGAATAAGAACCGCATAGATGAATGAAACAGTGGATGTCAAAGGATGTAAAAGAGGAGATTCTATGTTAGTTTGGGGAAATGTTTTGTGGAAAGTGTGTAAACTATTTTGCTTTTAATGTAGGGATAGGAAGATTTTCATTTTAATGGGAAAAAAATCTGAGCTCTTCATTGTATGTAAATCTTTTGCCTTTCTGCACTGGTTTGTTGCAAGGGCTGAGGTCACTTTATAACAGGGGTGGGCAAAATACGGCCTGCAGGCCAGATCCGGCCCATGGTGGGTCTTTGTCCGGCCTGCAGCTGGTCCCTCAGTCCCCTGGCCCAGGCACAGTCCAGCCATGGTACATCCTGCTGCCCACTGGGCATGCAGCGGGGCTGGGGCATCTCTGCAGCTGGACTGCCTTTCTAGGCAGCCCAGGTGGCGGGCAGTTCCTTCCAGCTGTTGCTGCCACTGACCCCAGCATTGCGATACTGGCAGGGAGGGGCTGCTTTCCCCCCTGCAGTCAGCAACAACTTCTGTTCTATGCTGCTGCTAAGTCTGGGCGGGCAAGACTGGAACAGGCGTAGGGCATGCAGGGCTGGAGCTGTGTAGCTCAGGGTCCCCACTAATACTGTGGGGTTGCGACTGGCAGTGGCAGCAGCAGCCGGAAGGAGCCGCCTGCCACTTGGGCTGCCTAGAAAGGCAGTCCAGCCACAGAGCTGCCCCAGGCCCACTGTGTGGCCAGGAGGCAGCAGGACATGCCAGGGGCAGGCAGTGCAGAGCAGGCACAAGGCAGGCTGGTTTGGAGCTATGCATGAGTTCTGGCTGATCTGCTCTGGGTGAGTCCAGAGCAGGTGTGGAACTGGGGCTTTGCACTGCTGGCGGTGGTAGGGAGGTGTCGCAGGGTGCGCGGGCTCTGGGCTGTTGCGGGGCAGGGATGGGTGCTGACCAGCTCAGGATCCCATGTACACCCCACCATACCCAGAAACTCTTCCCTGTAAACCCCATAACTACACCCCCACACACACATAATCACACTCCCCACAAACACCGCACCCACACACGCCCCCAGATGTATACACACCTGCACACCTCTACAGGGAGCCCCACTCACTGCTATGTGCACACACCCCACTACAGACACAAGGTAACCTAGAGGATAGTGACCATAAATTGATTGAATTTACTTTCTGGTGAAGGGTGGGAAAGATAACCAGTTGGGCAGAAGTGCTAGATTTCAGAAAGACCAACTTTAGTATGCTCAGAAGATTAGTTAGTGAGGCACTGATGATCAGGGGCATGGTGAGATGGAGTCCAGGAAAGGTGGTCGTTCCTAAAGGGAGCGATCCTTCAGGCACAGATGGAGACAATCCTATTGCGCATGAAAGGGGGCAGAGGGGCCAAGAAACCCTCTTAGCTGAACAGGGAAATTCAGGAAAGCCTAGGGACAAAAAAAGAGGCATACAGGCTGTGGAAGCAGGAGGTAGCTACCAAGGAGTAGTATATCTACTGGGCTCGCACTTGCAGGGAGTCAGTTAGAAAGGCCAAAGCTGCAATGGAATGTAGGCTGGCAACAAAAATTAAAGACAACAAAAAGTCCTTCTACAGGTATATAGGGAACAAAAAGAAGGTGCAGGGTGTGGTGGGCCAGTAGGGGGTGCTCCTGCATTAAGCCACTCACCTCACTGCGCCTGACCACCTTCCAGGCTCTGAGTGCCTCCCTGGGGGCGCCTTGCATCTGGCCGACCCCCTTCCTGGAGCACACCCGCTAGGCTGGGGTAAAAACTGCCACCACCCAGGCCTGGGTTTTATTCTGGCTCTGTGCACCCTGGGAAACACAGGCCTAGTAGCCCTCAAGGGTATTTGACTCACTTCAAACACTTGGGGGTGCTTTTCTCAGTCGGAAGCACAAGTAGTGGTCTCCCTTAGTCAGCCAAACCAAGGGGACCCCAAGGTATAATCTAGACTCACTCCCAATAAATCTCCCATGCTTGGTACAAAGGAGAACTTTATTGGTTACAAGGGGTAGGGTGGCAATAGGGTACAGGGTAGAGCAATATCAGAGAAATCCCATAGAGCAAACTGGCATGGCTGGGTATCCTTTGATCACACATCTGAGTTACTGCAAGCTATCTATCTAGTTAGATCTCGGGTAGCTTACTCACAAGTATCATCCAGAGGCAGGTGGAGATTCCCTCTGAAGACAGGCAGTTCCTCGTGAGTTTTGAGAGAGAGAGCAAGTTTCAGATGGTTCAGCTCTTTTCTCTCTGAGTCTTCCTCATGGCTGCTGCCCCCTTCTCCTGGGCAGTCCTTATATAGCCCTTATAACCTCATTTACCTGGTCCAATGGAGGCCAGCATCTGTTAGCTGTCAGCCAACCAATTTGAAATGCATCACTAGTTGCTGGGCAGACTGGCAGTTCCTAGCTCCCCAGGGAATCCAAGCCCCTCACCCAGGTATGTGATGCCTGTCACGTAGGCAGAAGAAGCAGGTTTCCCCCCTCCCTCAGGAATGTATCCAGCTCAGTTTACCTAAAGATGTAGGGTAAAGTGTGTACCTTCTGCAGGGCCCATCTTAACCAAATTGTCACAGAGCAGAGTTTTTGCAGAGAAATAGAGGTGGCCTTCTGCCACACAGGGTAACATAGGACCCCTACAGAGCAGACTAGGGCAATTGATGACAGATAGGAGGGACAAAGCTGAGCTCTTCAATGAGTTTTTTACTTTTGTATTCCTGAACATAGATCAGGACAAATGTCAAAAATTGGATTATAGACAAGCAAAGGATGGAAACCAGCCCACCAACTATTAGCGCCAACTTAGTGAAGGAACACTTGGAGGGGCTGGATGTGTTGAAGTCAGCAGGCCTGGATGATCTTCATCCAAGAGTGCTGAAGGAATTGGCCAGTGTCATAGCAGAACCACTGG